TATTCCTACTGAACTAATTAAGGCATGCGGAGAAGCTGGAGTTTCTAAAATACATCGGTTGGTTAAAAAGATCTGGATGAACGAGAAATTACCTGAAGAATGGAAAGAATCTATTCTTATTCCGATTCACAAAAAGGGTCCGAGGACTGATTGTAATAACTATCGAGGAATTTCACTGCTTCCGGTATTTATAAAATATTCACTTTAATCTTAACCAGTCGAATCACGGAATACGCCGAGGAAATTATCGGAGACTACCAATGCGGATTTAGACGGAATCGTTCGACTATTGATCAAATATTTTCTTTACGGCAAATATTAGAGAAAAAATTGGAGTATAACGGTATTGTTCACCAGCTGTATATAGATTTTAAAAAGGCTTACGATTCTATTGACCGCCAGAAACTGTATAATATTCTAATCGAGCAGGGGATTCCAAAAAAACTAGTAAATCTAGTCAGGATGTGCTTGACGGAGACACTCAATAAAGTTAGAATCGGTAATAATTTGTCCGAAAAATTTGAGGTTCGTTCGGGCTTAAAACAGGGGGATTCTCTTTCGCCTGTCCTGTTCAATTTGGCATTAGAACATGCCATTAGGGAAGTAATGCGAACCGAGAAAGGGTTGGATCTGGGCGGGACAACATCCGTGCTGGGCTATGCTGATGATCTGGTACTGTTAAGCGAAGACGTTGAAACTATAAAACTAAATACGACAACGTTAATGAAAGCCGGTAAAGAACTAGGACTCGAAATAAACGTGGATAAAACAAAATATATGGTTAGCTGCAAAAAGGGCGATACTACTGGTGATATCGATATAGATGGTAATATGTTTGAACAGGTAGATAAATTTAGGTATCTAGGTTCTACGATAACTAGAAAAAACGAAATTGAAGAAGAGATTAAGGTTAGACTGAAGGCGGGGAATGCTTGTTATTTTTCTGTGACAAAACTACTTAGTTCGCGCCTCTTGTCCCGAAACTTAAAAATTAGAATCTATAAAACAATTATCTTGCCTACAGTTCTTTATGGATGCGAAACTTGGCCGCTTACATTAAGGGATGAGCAGCGTCTTAAGGTTTTTGAAAATAAAGTATTGCGTAGAATATTCGGACCGAAGAAGGATGAGTTAACCGGAGAGTTCAGACGGTTACACAACGCCGAATTGCGTGAGATGTATCCGGGTAATATAATTGAGGTAATTTCATCGCGGCGAATCAAATGGGCTTGTAAAGTTGTTGGGCTTAGTAACGAGAAAATTCCTAAAAGGTTAATATTTGCTGTACCGAATGGTAAGCGTCCGAGGGGAAGACCGAAGCGAAGGTGGGAAGATTGCATTAAAGCCGATCTGAAGGGACTGGGTTTGGACGGCGAACGGTGGAGGGAGGTGTGTAACAAGCGATTGGTGCTGTCGGCATCGAACCTTCGGGTTCGCTAAGCCTTATTATTATTATTATTATTATTATTATACTACCGTCAGCCATTGAGTGCTCTATATTGTACATATTAATTTTTGGTTTGACCCGTTTCGTTTTATAAAAATTATGTATATTTCTTTCTATCTTCTAAAAAAAATATATACAATATATGGATTATGTAAAATTAGACTGTTAAGGTAGATATGTGAAACTTACACCATCTTTATTATATTGCTATATGAAATATAGAAGTGAAGGGATATATTTCGAAAAGAAATATGTAAGTGTATATTCCCTTATTGTAACAGGATATGCTCCCACAGCCTAGAAGTATGTGGAGCGCTAAGGGGTGTAACGTATACGACGGACATGACCAGAATATTAAATCGTTTAGGGTAACACTACGTGGTATCATAAAGTCCTCACAACTGCGGGAAATTCAAGCAGACCGAAGAGAGGGCAAGTACCGCGCCACCAAGTGGAGGATAGTTAAGCACATCTTGTCTTATAGCTTAATCATATGGTCAGGGTATGATAAAACTTAGCTTACTGACTGGTATGAATAGGAAATTTGACTTCTTACTAACGAGAGACTGATGCTACAAAACATTTTTTATTTATTCCATACATATTTACATATTATTACCTTCAACATACATTCCTCCTCTATCCCTATAATTCTCCATATACATTTTCCATTGTCTCTCTCAGCTTGAATGTCTTCTTTGTCAGCTTCTTCAAGAAGCATTCCGCTCTCTCTTTAAGTACTATTTTCCTGGTACTGCCAACCGCGCCGACTGCTAGCAGCTACATGCCCGACTGCTTTGGTTAAATAGAAAAGAGCCTTTACAGTTGAGATAATTCGGCAGTCTATACATGATGTCATATCTATACTGCTCCTTTCTGACCAATGCTGAAGCACTCAGTTACTGTTTGCAGTACGACGGTTATAGATTATGTTATCATATCGGAGAAACATTTTCGTGGAAACAGTCACCTTGACAAGTTTCATTTTCTTTTTTTTTTCTTTTTTAATCAAATAAGGTAAAATTAAATGACAAAACGTTTAAAATTTAAACAAAGCAATAGTATATCTTTTTTCAAAGGTTGAAGTAACATGGTCATTTATTACACCAAAATTATTTTTCAGAGGAATCCATATATATTCAAACGGCATTAAATAAATTTAGAAAACGAAGAAATTTAACCTGTATCTCAAATCCAGATATTGAAAAATCAATTCATCTGTTTTAATTAAAGTGCTGTTTTGCTGATTACCTATTAACAGTAAATCATTGTCTGATGTGATTTCATTACAAATATATGATATTTATTGCTTAAATAATCATACTAATACAATTAAAATCAGAGATACATTCCCAATTCTTAAAATAATATATTATCATTTTCTTTATATCATGAGGTTGATAAAATGTTTATTAAAAATATTACAATAAACTATCATTTTGTAGAAGGTGAGCATTAATATGTAGATAATTGTTAACATTGTAAATTACAGATATCACCTAACCTTGTTGTTCAACGTTTTGTGACGGTGATTAGCGAAATAGAGATGTATGAACGGTTGGCATTATGAAATGGCAGTCGCTGCTGTGGGCAGTATCAGCGATGTAGTACCTTTTCACTGCTTCACCTCAAATTATGATTCTTTTAATGAATATTGACGAATAGTGTTTTTTTGTTTATTATTTTCAATAATGAACCATTGTAATCGAACAAGAAACTAAAAAAGTTGAACTCCTCTCAAAATGTGAGGATTTACGTTTCAGAATACCTTGAATTCGAACAACAAATATTTTTTTTTTTTGTCCGTCAGCCGTCTGCACATTTTCTCCGAAACTACTATACCGATTTTTTTTCAAATTTGGATTTCAAATCATAGGTCAGCCGAGGATTCCTTCTTCATGACATTACTATTCGCTTTTTACTTTCAAAATAGCGGATGAAAAACCTGCGTTGCCATAGACTGTAGCGCCTAAACAAATGTACCGATTTCGATGAAAATTGACTAAAGTCTCCTGCTTGATGCCCTTTAAATTTATCTATATAACATACTACAGCGAAAAGATGCTGGCAAAAAAGTTACGAGGGATGGTAAAATTAGATTCCGAATAGCTCAAAAAGTATACCCACGTTTACGAAATTCCTCCCTCCTCCCCCCCCAAAAAAATAGTTAAAATCGGACAATTAAGAGCCAAGATATAGTCTTGCCTCTAACTACATCATTGTTCTTTCTTTAATTTTCGGGAATAACAGTGATGTGATTTACAAAATTGATACATTTCTAGCCGAGTGGGTTGTTTTGTCATCTGTTATAATATTTCGTTTACTTCCTGCCTTGATCCATATACATACATTTATTATATGTACATTAATATACCTCATATATCCAAGCAACCACTATTGAAACATTTATTTTCACAGCTGCCTTTCTCTCTGAACCACCATCTCTAATTAACTCCTCAGACTTGACTGCCCATACTCCACCCTAGGACTGCCTTCAGAATCCTTGACCCCCCTTCCAGGGTCTCACTCCAACTCATTGTACTTACCTTGACCCTCAATTAGGTTTATTGCACCCATTAGTAGATATTGCGCCGAAAGGCCGCAGTCCCCTTCTCGTGTCTATGGTCCTCCCTGAGTACAGGTCACTTGCATCGGTCGGCAATTATTACCATATTTTTCCCCATGATCATCTCTGCTTATTTTTATTTCATAAAATATAATTAATGTCCATAAAATAGATTTTCATTTCAATTAGCCATCTCCTCGATGCATAGAAGTATAGTTTATATATATATATATATATATATATATATATATATATATATATATATATATATATATATATATATAAGTTAAGCGTCGGCGGACTCTAACAATAAAAAAAAAGAAAGGAAAGGGCTTGAAATGCAACACTCACGGTTTCAGAAAAGATACTGATTTATTCCTTTAGTAATCCTCCTTATATACATTTCATATGTTTATTTACATTCAGGACGGTATTAAGGCTGATATCGCCGGTCTCCGGTCTTTATCTCCCCCCCACCAGTT